ATTAAAAACCCATTTAAGGACGTCAAACTCACCAATAACGAGAAGTATCAAGGATATTTTCGACCTTAAATCGAACCAAAATACTGATCTCGGAGAACTGATCGATCGAAGGACAGCACAGCCTGATGGTGATGACCACTGACCAGTTACGGTGACGTCAAAAAACGTATTTCCGCGGTGTCGAGCTAACACTGTAAGATTTGAATATTCTTTTGGCTAAGCCTAGCAAGTATCAAGTCACTGCTGTGTTTCTCTTTGGACAATTTATGCAAATAATTAACAATGATTGGCAGACAGACACGATCATCATGATCATTTTAATCTCAGGCCATCAAACGGTGTTAATCCAACAAATTTTTCTTTTCACTTATTCCAGACGTCTAAAACCATTCATCGTTATGTAAATTTTGGGGTGCGTTGATTCGAGAGTTAGGCATTTTAAGATTTGCGATGTTATTGACGAAAATGCACGAAATTGACCATTTTATGTCATCCTACCATTTTCAGAGGTGGCAAGGACTTAGAACTGATGGCATAAGAGCTTTGAAGTGAGGGGAATGATATAGCTTGGTAGAATGTACTTCTGTAGCGCAATTTAACTTGTGCGCAATATACCAAACAGTAAAAGAAAAAACAAGACCAACATGGCTGCTGAATGCCAAATACTGTGATTTTCTCAAATTGTTTTCGTAATTCTAATAACTAAGGTTTTCGATAAACAATTAGGAATAACAAGCAGCGATATAATTAAAGAATGACGTTTCGACGGCTCCATGCCATCATTCTCAAATTCAAATAAGATACGTTATGGGAGTTCGTTATATAGTGAATGTACGTGTGAAGGACTCAGTGCATATGATTATTTTTTAAGAGATAAAAATAATCGACGAATAACAATAAAAATACCAAGCGTGATGCGCCTGAACTGTCAAATAAAAAGTTTTGCTTTAATGGAGTCGGATTGAATGTTAAGTGTTGGTTTTTTGTTTTTGATGAAGAGCATTTCATAAATTAAACAATCCAGTTTCCCGCGGCATTTCTTGAGGATTGTAGATTGGTCACGGAGATCTTTGTTCCTCAGATTGTGTACGTCCCGCAGGTGTTTACCAATGACAGAATGCGCTTTAATGAGCATAAGCATTCTGTCATTGGTAAACACCTGCGGGACGTACACAATCTGAGGAACAAAGATCTCCGTGACCAATCTACAATCCTCAAGAAATGCCGCGGGAAACTGGATTGTTTAATTTATGAAATGCTCTCCATCAAAAACAAAAAACCAACACTTAACATTCAATCTGACTCCATTAAAGCAAAATTTTTATTTGACAGTTGAAGCGCACCACGCTTGGTATTTTTATTTTTATTCATCGATTATTTTTATCTCTTAATCATATACACTGAGTCCTTCACACGTACATTCACTGTATAACGAACTCGCATAACGTATCTTATTTGAATTTGAGAATGATGGCATGGAGCCGTCTAAACGTCATTCTTTAATATCGCTGCTTTTTATTCTTAATTGTTTTCGTAATGGATCGAGAAAAACGTCGATGTGAAGGCAAACATTTGCATGGGGAAGGAACATTTTTCCTTCGTGCGTCGTTCGAACTTGTGTTGTTCTGGTTCACAATTAGTACTTGAGGAACGCAATAACTGAATTAATACCAGGAAAAAAATTGAACAACGCAAACCTGGCAAACCCGATGAGAGACTTAAGTTTTAACCGGGTTAACAAGTTCGTCGCAAACACAAATTAAAGCGTGTGTAATTGCAGGCACTGGGACAGGCCTACTGACATTCTTTTACACTTGTGAGCATCTGTGAAGTTACACAGTGAAAACATCATATCCATAACACTATTTATTGCGAGAATCTAGTATTGTGCAGACGTACTTTGTTGGTCTTGTAACTAACCTTGCTCACCAATCTTTATGCGGCCTCTATAAACTGTAAACAGCGTCTCATAAAATATTTACAAACCACATGCTGATAAGGACTATTATTCAGTAATACTTCTTTTGGTTGTATATGCATGTTCGCAAAATTATGACTCTGTATTCGAGCCAAAAGTTGCACTTATATAACAATCTTTATTTTTATATTTACATATTTCTACCGTTCTACCCACACACTGGTTTTAGTTGCTACGTTTTACCGTACCCAAGTTCGCAATTAGCCAATCAGAAGCCGTCCTGTCCTGATACCCTGCACTGAACTGGTTACGATACATAACTTGGCCGAATTTGGGCACGATAAACACTTAATCGTACCCTTTTACGTACGCTTCGGCGTCAAATCAGGCTCCTTTGTTCTCGTCGTGGGTATTTGGCGAGACGTAGTCGAGCCCATATAGGTACCTTGCCTAATTCCTGTACGGCTTTCTCCCGGGCCTTAACGGTCAATTGATTTCGTTGACGTACCGAGACGAACGGCAGGAAGCAACTACTCTTTTCGCCTCGGACCACGTGATCCGAAAACGATTGATCGAGGTGAAATATCGAGGTCTAGAAACTAGGCAAATACGAATCACGGCTCGACCGCCGAAGAGTACAAGAAAGGTACGATAAGCTGTAAGTGCACTACTGTACAACTACAATATCTTCCAGAGGAATATAAGCGTCAAAAGAAGTGCGTTTTTACTTCGCGCTTCGAAGCGAAACTTTTACAAAAATGGCATGAATAAGAAACATCACCAGCAAAAACAAAACCGAAGAGTTTATCTTGACTTGTGAGTTGCATAGATCTTCACCGCAACACGAAACTTTACAAGTTGCTTTCATTTTGTCACCAGACTTTTGTAGGTCTTTACATGCCGGGAGAAGACTGCCGGAACATTGGGATTGGGACAGACAACCGCGCGCAAACATTGTTTCTCTGTCGTCAGAGTTCGCGTCCATCTTTTCGTAGCTGTACTTTACGCATCTTGCATCGGTAAAGTTGCAGTTGGTTTCTGTCGTGTTTCCGTTACAGTGTTCCCAAGATTTACGGCTCTGACACCTGTTACAACGCAGACTGCTGGCTGTAAGAGGAAGACAATTTGATATCAGGGATATACAATAAAGTTGTCTGTAACCTCTCAGCTTCGTTAAGTTTTTTCTTTCAAGAAGTGCTTTTTAAATAAATAAATAAATAAATAGATAAATAAATAAATAAATAAATAAATAAATGAATTGCTAGATATTTTGGTGTCAATTTGTAGTAAAAGAGAATGAAAGACAAGAAAAAAAATGAAACGATGGACAAGGGGGGATATGAGGTAAGTTGTGTTTACTTTATTGGAAGCCGTGGAGTAACAAACAGTGCATAAATAAATGGCTACAATCATGGACAAAAGTGTTGACACATTTGAGCAAAACAAACGCTTTCTTTTGGCGTCCTTCCGTAATTGAAAAAAAACATCTTTTTGTCGATAGCCAAACCCCCCTCTCCCCCTTTTCAATGTTGAAATACGCTCCGTGGACACTGTCACGTGGTTACAACAATGAACAGGTGAGAGGGGGTCGAAACGTGAAAATTGGAGATTTCAAGAAGTGCTTTTTAAATAAATAAATAAATAAATAAATAAATAAATGAATTGCTAGATATTTTGGTGTCAATTTGTAGTAAAAGAGAATGAAAGACAAGAAAAAAATGAAACGATGGACAAGAAACATATATGCGGAGATGGAAGAAGAATTTCGATTTTAAAAGTGTATGAATCTCTTCAGTCAACACCCAAATGCCGGTCTTACTTTTCTCCGTCTTAAACTGAAAAGTGTCATATCAAATATGGCATATCTTAACGTTTAAACGAAAAAGAAACCTTTCGAACCTCGACAAACAAACTAGAAAGAAACCTAGACGGCGAATTGAACGAACCAAAGAGAACGCAGTTGCGCAGTAACGCGGTATTTTGGCTTAAAAGAAACAAATTTAATGGAATGAAAGTTTTCAATCCTGAAAGCTCGGCTATCGACGCGACGCAAGCCAGTAGTGAAGTTTGACCAGCAGAGCACCTGTCAATTTCATAATTTCATAGATAAAATAAGCCTCAAAACCGTAACGTTGTGTTTTCTTCACAAACGCGTTTGTAAATTCGTGGCTGGTATCGATTGTTTTGTGGGTTAGTGATTCGCATTTTTCTCCAAAACTGATTTGCTGATATGCAACAATAAAGTACATTATAGTACCTACCTTCAGGCAGTATGTAAGCAGTTAGCATGGCGAAAATAACACAGCGTTTTACACGGGTAGGGAAAGCCATTCGTACGCAATTTGGGTGGCAATTTTCTCAATTTGGTGTTGAATAACTTTCATCCCATACACAAATTTTACAAGCTTCTTTTAATCATTAATATTTTAGTGCCTAACCTTTTCAGGACACCTGCGTTGAGTTGTATTTGTGACTGAATAACAGCCTAAAGAAAGTCTCTACGCACAGTTGATTCTCCTGTAGGCAATGAAATTACATGGAAACCCTATCGGATCAGAACACGAAATTTTACAGAAGTCAACAATTCATAAAGGTTTGGAATTGATACCAACTCTATGTAAACGCGACCATCAACAGATTAAAAATTGTAACAATGAAGAAACATAATGAAGAATTCTCGGAGATTCGGTAACAGTAAAAAAACTGCGTCATTTAAATGAGGCCATTTTAGGTCAATCATTATCCGGCAACAAGCAGACACCTGTTCTTCCCGTGCAGTACGTTTAATTTCGTACTTTATTTTACGGCTTGTGTTTGTAGCCGATATAACGCGAGCTCTCATTGGCTTATTCTAAGGCATTATTCTCCCGTAACGCCCACGGCCCGATTACAGGCCTGCAAAACCGGGGCAAGGAGCCATATAAACTTGTTAACCTCGAACGTTCTGTTATAACGGGAAAATCAAGAGGGAAACTCGAGAGGACTGAGCTTCTTAATTGAGTGCTCACTGAACTTCCAAAGAATATCTTCAATCGATGATGATAATGCCCAGCGAAAAGTATGAATAAATTAATTTATTTGTTTCATAACATCGCTAATGGAAAGGGCGAAGAGAAGTCAACTTTGTTCACACCGTGAGCGCTCACCATTGGATTATAATGCGAGCTTCACCATATTTAGTTTCGCTAGCTTTGCAATAAAGCATCTTCTCTTTTCTCTTAAAAAAGTGAATAATTAAAAAAATTAGTACTCCCAGGAGCACACACGAAGAGTTGATTACACTGCATTCGGCTCCTCTTTTTCCCCCTTTCAACCCAGTTTACTGTTGCGTGAATCTGGGTCTCCCGGATGAAATATGAAATACATATACTTCGGCGGGGACTGAGAAGTGACGACACTAAAATTGAGTCGATGAGTTTTCAGAAAACAACTTGTGAGTCATTATTTAACAGATGTTGAATAATTTTTGCATAACTCATTTGTCTGTTCGTTAGTAATTTAAGAAATCGTTTGATTCCCTGCAGTTTTTATGTTGCTAATGGAGTTATGTCAGCAGTGGAGTAAAGCAGAACTGCGTTTTGGCGCCAACCCTGTTCGGGATTTTCTTCTCGATGTTACTCCACTACGCCTTTGCCGATTGCTCGGAGGGTGTATACATTCGGACGAGGTCAGATGGCAAGCTTTTCAACATTGCCAGGCTCC